GGGGGGGGGGGGGGGGGGGGGGTGCACGTCTGTTGCTGAGAGTAGCAGACCAACAGTTCAGCCCCACGAGACATTTAGGGCATTTCGATGAGATGTAGGCCCCATACACTTGTCACAAACTGTAAAATTACTCACATGGCATATTTCCACAACGTCACCTGTGTCGCCCAGCGACTGATGAAGATGGCCGACCGCCCATCGAAATTTCTCATGTGAGTCATTTTGCAGTTTGTGACAAAAGAGCGCATTCGGAGCAGCAGATTAACAGATTCGCGGGTCAAATGTGGCCGACTCACTTGAATGCTTGTTGCGTAGTCACCGCGGGGAAACTATTCAGTGTTTTATCGGGAATTTAGCGCAAGCTCTCTAGTGGGTCGCCATATTTGATCCGCGGATCTGTTAGTCCTCTGTTCTGAATGCTCTCTGTAAAGCCTATAGGTCCCAAATACGTTTTGGACGCACGGTTTTTAGGTTCCTTGCGTCCGTCTAGGACGTAGCTCGATCGCAGGGAAGGAATCAAGTAAAGCCTAGGTCCTAACCGAACATACGGGCTGCTACGTGTGGTCTACGGCCAAAACAATGGGAAAACGTGGGAGTTCGTGCGTGAGGAGCACGTCCATCGTGCGACTTTTGGAGGACGTAAACAGCGCGTAGAAACTTTTCGACATGATCAACAGCCGCTACGTGCGATCTAGCTACGTCCTAGCCGGACGTAAGGAACCAAAAAAAAAACGTGCGTCCAAAACGTAGTTGGGACCTAGGCTTAAGGGCAGTTTTTACTTCTGTCAACCACCAAAGTAATGATACTTTATGAACATATAGAGTGAACCAAAAAGGTGTTTCCACTTTTGATAAAGTAGCATTTTTTATCAAAATGAAAATTTAACCGTTTTTACAGTTCTGTCTTACAGACATGAAAGTTTTGTGTGGCGTAAGTTTATTGCTCGAATACCATCTTTTGCGAGCACAGTAGTTTATAATGTGCTCCATCCAAGCTTCTATGCGCCGAATAACTGTGGCTACTCGCACACTGAGTTTGTAATGACAATGCTATACACTTTGTGGGTAATTCTCTGAATGTTATTTTTGAGAGCATCAGTAGTTTAATATTTGTTGACAAAGACATTGTCTTTTAAGTATCCCCTCCGAAACCAATTTAAAGGGCATAGGTCTCCCGTCGCACGAACCGACCTTGGTCAGCACATTTTATAGACGTGTAGTTACTAAATGACTGGACCTTTAAGATCGCTTTCTCATCCGACGTTGCATTAGGCGCTCGCAAAAAAAAAATGTCGACACTTTTTATACAAGTCGTTTTGAATTCTTTTGGCGTACAAGGGCATGGATATGATGAAATAAAATCCACCCCTTGTGCACGAACGAACTGCAAATAATAAATTGTGAACCAATAAACATCGCAAGTTTAAGTGCCCAATTTATACCTTTTTCCCGAAAATAAACAATTTGATAATGAGACTCTTTTTTTATCATTTTGCAGTATTAACGCCTGTGATAGAACCCGTGACTTTCATTATTTCATTTTTACGCTGTTAATTTACATGTAGTCTTTGGGTTGAGCTTTTTCCTCGGGTAAGCGTAATTTTGGAATAGGAGGACTAGTCTAATAATACAAATGCAAATAAAAAATTGTTTCGGTTAATCTGCCACTTGAATAAGGTTGTAAGCATGAGGGTGTATCGGCGTGTGTTTTAGTTGTTACAAGTTTAAGAGTCTACGGGACAATCTGTCGGGAATACTTTTTTATAGGACTGTAAAAAAAATCCGTTTCGTTCCTAACCAGGTTTGCAGTGCATCTTGTGATTTGCAGGTGACAATCAAATCTTTACGGTTTATATCAACTTTGACAGAAGCTGTAAAGTGCACACGACTATGAATTGATTGGCAGTTTTTATAAACAAACGTCAATCACAATCATTTTACAGAATTACTAAAGTTGCCGAGTACGTAAGACTCCAACGCTTACAACCTTTGATTGACAAGGTGTCAATCAAATTCCTTCAGTTTTAATAGAGCCTGTCAGGCACGGGCAGATTGATTGGCAGTTATGTAAACAAACGTCAATCATCACACGGATACGGGAAATATGCAGACAGAGAGCGCGTTAGTATTACCTGTAGTGCCAGCAAAGACACAATTAGCTGGAGAATAATTATTTTTCTGCATTAGTCGCGGAGTATAGACAGTTTCTCATTCGCTGTGAAAATCCACTTATTTTTTCTAGGGTAAGGTAGTTAAACCAACTAATAAGTTTTCTCAGGTCCACTGAAGTTAATTAGTAGTTGATCGTTTTAATGACCTACGTGAATCTTTTTGCTACGGTCTCTTATCTAAGATCGCCTAAGCTATGAAACACACGTATCGTCAAAAATATGCTTTGGTGGATACAGAACTTTAAGTCTGCCCCAATAAACTGGTGTAGGGAGCATTTGTACGCCCCTTGTGTAAAATGTGAGATGTGGCACCACAAATTAAAATAACATACTAGTAAATTTAATTAATTTAAGGTTTATTTTTTTATTCACCATTTTTACTTAAAATAACCCAGTTTGTTTATCTGTCACATTTTCTTTTAATTATATTCTTGGGACAGAAAAAAATATTAATATAATTGACTGAAATAATGTTAACATTATCATCGTATCAATTATAACAACAACAACAAAAATTGATGAATGCCATTTATTAGCTATATAAAATACTGAGACAGTTATCACATAATGAGTTCTGTACTATACTTCATACCTGTTGTATTTATAGTTCAGACTTACTTATAAAAATAACAAGAAAGCAAATTGCTGCCTTCAATATAAAAATCGTAATATGGTAAATGGTTGATTTGTCTCTGTACATTTGGAGGGATTGACACATTGCATGTTTTTTTTTTTTTTTCTCTCCAGGAATATTAGATACACAACAAAGTCATCACTATCTGATCTTGTACAACAATGAGCCAAGAAAGCAAAAGACAAATATAAAATTATTAACAAATAACAAAATAAAATACAACAAATAAATCACCCAAGCATTCACACCTTTAAATGTTCTTTTGCATGTTTTGAGCAATTTCTCTTCCACAAAATTGCCAAGTTCTCATTATTATTACTTTTGAGCTCATGCAAACTTTTCGATTATTGCAATATATAAATAACAACAGCAAAATAAAAATGTACTTTTTATAAAGTATCACATCTTTTCAATCTTGTTAGTATGCACAGCTGCAATCCATTACTGAAAAGTTTGTTAATATTTTTTTTTAATATTCATGATTTTTTAAATTGATTTCTTTGCCATGAGGGTCCATCTATAAAAGTCCAGTTTTTTTTTTTTTTTTTTTTTACATAAAAATAATATATTATTTCTTCCTCTCTTCTATAACCCTTATTTAAATGTCTTCAAAGAAGTCACATGGTGTATTCATTCTGATTTTTCTTCAATGAATGTGCACATGAAAATGGTGTCAAGCTACACCAGTTCTATCTTTCTTCCTTATTGCTTTTTTTTCTCACCCAACAGGAAGAGCATGTTTTCCCAACTTCAAACATTTACACTTGTACTTTAAACTGAATCATTTCTCCACACCTGTAAACTTTCAGTGTGCTCTTTAATTTCTTTTCATTCAAAGTCAAGACAAGTGGTTTCATCTGCACAACATCACTTTTCTCCTTTTTTCCCTCTCTCCAAATTCAGGACAGGTGGCGCGGTCTGGGGTCGTTTCATAGCTGGGAAGTATTGCCGGAACCACTCCTCAAAGTCCTCCACCGTCATCTCCACGATGCGCTCGCGACAAAACTCAATTGCCGCGCTGACATCTGGGTTGCAAATCTCCCAGTCTCGAAGACGCTCTAGGATCTTTAGGAAGTGTAAAACTGTCTGCTTGCCACTGTCAATCTGAAATGATTCAAAGGAGATAATTTTGATGAGTTCTTACACATTCTGTGAAAAACATGTTTCAGTGTCTTTAGTATAATGATGATAGACATCAGTCAAGCAATCAAGGCTTTTTGAGGAATAGTTAAGCCACTGTACTTCACAGGTAGAAAAATATATTTTAGTCTCTTGAAAAGAGATTTTCTTTTTTATCTGCTTACACACTTTATCATGTAAAAAAAAAAACAGGATCTATGATATTTCACTCTTTTGTTGATTTTGTCGCTTAAAAAGTCACATCGCTTCACCAAGGATAATTACAATGATGGTAACTATGAGGACACAAGTAACCAGCACAGCCCTTGTGATTATTTTTTCCTCGGCATCTAGTCCAGTTTTAGATAAAATAATTGACATCATTATGATATTTTTTACATACGACCCAGCCCACTTCAGTGCCCAGTAAAAGTAGAAAAAGTAGGACGTTTTGTTTCAAAGTATGAGGATCCTACCCAAAAATAAGGAAAAGTAAGAGCTCTGGGAACCATGTTATTATCATTGTTTAAATTATCACTGGATTAAAAAAATATGTTGTTGCACCCCCAATCCTGGTGGTCAAACAAAGTCCTCCAAATTATAGCTGATTAGATAATGTAAGACATGTGCTGGATCCAATACTGACTGACTAGATACCGGATTCAAAAAGTAAGATATTTACTTAATGTACTGCAACTGGATGCTTAGAACCAAGTATAATACAACTTAAAACATGCACAACCATACTTTTAAGGGAGTAAAAATTCAAAACATACATAATTCTCACAGTATAAAAAATACAAGTGAACTGTTGCATGACTGGCACGTATATTAAAGCAAAAATAGAAAAAAATGACGCAAAATGGAGATTTCACAAAACAGCAGTGACATAAACCCACAAATAATATAAGAAAGTTATTTTATATAAAAATCAAAACAAACCAGACACTGCATATAAAGTATCACATATTTTCCGTCTTGTTAGTATTCACAGTATTAACCAAAACCATGCTAAAATTTCAAAAAACAAATACAGACTGAGACAGACGACACCAATTAATAAAAGAACGTTACAAAAAGTCTTACGGCATCCAACATCCATATTTCAAATAAATGAAACATATAAAACAAGACAAACAATGCTTATTTTAAAAATAAAAATCCGGACACAAAGGCACATCTATTATTACTACCTTGTGTGAGATTTCATGGTACTGCAGCAAGGACAAATAATAAATTACAAGTCACCATATTAATTCTAAATTCTAAATCAATGTCATTGATACTTGTCAAAAATTTCATAACATTATTTATTCCAATACTTCTATCTTCCTTGCACTATTAAGTTACTGAGCAATACAAATTTGTTAGCATAGCAATGTAAATTCTACAATTCACTAAAAGACTAAATACAAACACAAATGTTAGCATAAAATGTCGATTCTATAATTCACCTTAAAACTAAGTACAAATAATTTTTCATTTTAATACCAAATATAAGGGCCCTCACCTTTCCATATTTCTCTAGCTTGTCCATGATTTTCCTGAAGTACATCCTGTCCTTGGGGCTGAGGTCAAGACTGTCCACAGTGGTCAGAAGATCACTGTACCTACAGTAACAATAACAGTAACAGTAAACATTACAGTAACAGTGACAGTAGCAGTAAAAGTGACAGTGTTATAACATCACACTGGTTAACAGGTCAATATACCTACAGCAACAATAACAATGTTGTTGTCACCATGACAATGTAATTACATCACAGTAACAATAAGGATGACAGTAACAATGATATCATGACAAAAAATTAATACACTACAATTAAATCACTAAGATAAAAGCAATCATGAATTCAGAATATCAATGACAAAAATATCACTTAGTCAATAGCAATTATATCACTTTAACTTTAGTGACAATAACACTGACATCACAATGCCAACAATGACATCATAGTGACAATAACAATGACATCATAATAACAGTAACAGTGACACCACAATGCCATCAATGACATCATAATGACAATAACAATGATATCATAATACCAGTAACAGTGACATCACAATGCCAACAATGACATCATAGTGACAATAACAATGACATCATAATAACAGTAACAGTGACATCACAATGCCAACAATGACATCATAGTGGCATTAACGATGATATCATAAGGCCAGTAACAGTGACATCACAATGTCAACAATAACTCCATTGTGACAATAACAATGATATCATAATGACAGTAACAGTGACATCATAATGCCAACAATGACATCAGTGTCAATAACAACAATATCTTAATGATAGTAACAGTGACATCATGCAGATAGTATAAGGTCAGTTTGCAGGCTAATATTTATATTCAGCTTAAAATCAAATTAGTAGTCAAAATTTAAATAACTTACCACTGACAATGTATAGGTTTTTGTTTGAGTCTCTCCGCTCTCTTGGCGTCTTTGTCGGCCAGTGCTTCCTTCATTTGCTTCAGGGCGTCGTGAACTGTATTTTTAGAGAATGGAATGGCCAGAAACTTTTGCTGACATGTGGCATACTTTTGTCTGAAAAATTAAAATTTTGATGAATTAGGACTTTCAATATAAACATTGTATAAATCTAATTTCATTTTTTAACTTCAGTCACAAAAATGATTCTGTTCCAAAAATTAGCTTTTAAGGGTTTTTAAGAGTCTGTTTCAAAAATTAGTTTTTAATATTGTTAGTCAAAGACCTGGAATTAAATGATTTGGCCTTTAAAACATTAGACAGAACTTTACCCAGTGTTCAACAGTAGAATGTTAAATACAATTCAAGATAAATCACTGGCTGTCTACAGTATACAGCATAAAATGCTGCCAACATTCTTAGTAAAAATAAATTATAATAAAACAGTAGAATTTGCATGTGAAAATACAAGTTGGAACAGGCTATCTGTTTAATTTAATGTGAATTATTTTATACAGTTTCGCACTTTCAGTTCTTTATCTTTAGACAGGATCAAGATTTCCAGATTGAGTACATAACAGACCAATGTCCAGTTTATGCAAGGTTGTTGCCATTAGATCTACTGTAACAGTTACAGTTCACTGTACTAGTTACAGTATTAGAAAGACTTTTTTTAAATTTCAAATCAATGTCAGTACAAATGACCTACTTTTCTATCTGCTCCAATTTTTCGTGGAGTTCCAGAGCTTTCTCCTCGGCAGTTTCTGCAAACTTCAGTTTCATGTCGGTTGCCATGTGGCTCCATCTATTGCTGGGAAGATTGGCCTGCAGCTCCAACAATGCTGGAGAGCTGAAATGTTTATGAAAAACGAAATTAAAATGGCCCAAACACAGGACACACAGATGTTTTCTACTCTTATCCCTTCAGTCACCTAACAAGCTCAAACGTCAATCAGTCCCATAAAAGCAAAATTAAAATTAGAGCATGCATTAAATTTGACATTAACAATGGCACTATTTTTCGGCGGCTGTACGGTTGCTAGGGTTCATATCTGGAATTAAGTAAGACTGCATACTTAATCCTTAGGAATGTAACTAAGGTTCAACAGTCAGTTCAATTCTGAAATTATCATCAACATGTCATCAAAAGAGTTGACTACAAGTTGGCGTGAGGACTAGCTAAACATACAAACCTTTTAGGTCTGAGTAAGTGCACAGCGTTTGCCCTGAGAGTTCTGGCAGACATGGTCCTCTCGTAGATACTGTCTGCTATCTTGTTTTCTTCTCCTGACTGAAAAGTAAAAATAAAAATATTATATGATGATTTTTTGGAACAAGAAAAATGTTTTCACATAAGATTTCTACAGAACATTTTTGTTTTTATCTCTGAACTGCTAAAAAGTAAGTTAAAATATGACAACCTAAGATACCCAGTTTTTTTTTTTTTTTCAGTTAAAGGTATCACTATAATCAGTGTAAGTGTTTTTTTTTTTTTTTTTTTTTTTTCAATCAACCATCAGATTAAAGTGAGTGGCACTGAAATTGGGGATTGATTAAATAGTGAGTTTTACAGTTTGGTTTTTAGTATATAGTCTCATAAAAAAAACATGTCTGTTTTAGATTTTTATCCTTGGGTATTTAAAAGAACAAAATTAAATAGATATACTCACAGCATGCTCTGCTTTCTTGGAAGTTTTTCTGGGAGATTTTACCCCTGACTCTCCTTCAGAAGACCTACAGAAACAAATGGATACTTCAACAATACTTCATCATGCAATATTCTTTTTTTAAACAATTTTTCAATGAATTTGAATAAATAAGTAAGACCATTTATGGAAATTCATTGCCAATCTGACCTTCAAAAGGAAGAGAGATAATTCAAAGAAAGAAATTGACCTCTTTTTATCCTTCTTCTTTTTCTTCTTCTCTGGCTGACTAGGTGGTGGTGGTGGCGGATCTCCCGAGTTTCCCTGCTCTGCTTTCTCCCGCTCAGCTTTCTCCTTGCTCAGTGATTCATAGTAATCGTCCAGGAAGCTGAAGATTCCTAGAAACATTTTAAATTATTAATTAAGAATAGTCTGAATTCAAATCATAATCATATATCAAGAGTGCTACTAACTAAATAATTGATAATAAAAGTAGTTAATGAGAAATGGGAATTAAGCCAAAATATCAGGCCCCAGTTTCACAATAAAAATTTAAGTCAGTTCTCTGGCTTAGTTGACTAGGATAACCATGAGAGTGCTATAACACTGCTCCTGATAGGGTAATATGTGCACATGTGACCATGTAACCTTGGTAATTAAGTTCTTAGCCAGAAAACTTTTTTGTGAAACCAGGCAAGAATCAACCTGGCAAAGATTACCTTTAGTGTCAGCCGGCTCCTCCTCTTCTTCAATTGGAGGCGTGAAAGGGGCCTCTGTGTCTAAATGCTGTCCCTCGTTCCTGGCGCTGTTCAGCTGAGTCTCGCTACCTTTAGGACTGCCGCTCGCCGCAGAGTTGGATTCTCGTGATCTCGGTGGGAAATGACTGCTTATGACTGTGGATGACGTCTTCCGCCTAGGATTGCTTCCACGTAGGAGTCTGCGAGCCTGTGAAATAAGTCATTAGTTTGTCAGTAGGACTATAGATGGCAGTACAATCTGGAGTGTTAAATAGATCATCACATGGAGTTTTCACTCACAAAATTTAAGTAAAACTAATATACACTAAAAGATGCTTAAAACTATGTAATGTTTTCTTTTGTGAGAGTGACTGCAACTGATACGGTACATGCAGCATCCATGTCATTTGAACAACAAACCATATACAAACAACTCAAATAAAAGAAAAAATCTTCTTAATTTTGCATATTTTTTTTACTTTTAATTCAAAGTACCAATGAAAATTATAATCCTGTGGAATAACTAGGTCTAACTGTTTCAACAATCTGACAAGTGAACATCAGACAGAATTTGGAGAAGATGATGATTTTGTCTTCCACAACAAATGGACAATAAAAAAGGGAAGTGTTCAAAAGGATTGAGGGACTGAGAAACATATAAGATCTCATTATCAGAACTCAGACAACCTCACAAACTACACAAAAATTGTCCCCATTTAGAATGAGATAGATTGTTAAAATGGAGGCACAGGGTCTGGATGGGTCTAGGAACATTAAATGGTGTAGGTCCCTCACACAGCAGTGGTTTTGATGAGAAATGACAAAGAAATAACCAATAAAAAAACAGACACAGTAAACTTATAGACAGAAGATATTATAAGTGTTCCAAAAGAAGGGCAAAAAAGTAAAGAATGTTAAGTAAAAGATATGGTTAAACAGAAATTGACCTAAATATTTTAAGAAAGAAAAAATGGCAATAGCATTAATATAGTAAAAGATAATACAGAGATGGAAAAACAACTAAACAAGTAATAAAGAATATATGAATCTTTATTTTTCTGGAAGGAGTGGGGGGAGGGGGTGTAGAGTGGTAAAAACATGGTAATTTTCACAATACATTCGGAGGGGGTATCAACAACAACAGCAACAGCATCAAGGGTATGAAAAATCCACTCGGCATTCCAAGTTTTCTACCTTTCCCACCATCATCATGGTTCCCACCTGACACATAGCAAGACAAGTCATTAGTTTGTCAGCAGGAGTATAGATGGCAGCACAAGCTGGAGTGTTATTTACAATCACAATATTAATGGGGCTATCACTCACAAAATTCAAAACAAAATAAATATATTCACCAAAAAGATGCTTTGCAAATTACAAATTCTAAATTTACAAAATTTGAAAAAAAATTGATGATTTTATTTACCAAAATAATGCTCTGAGTGAGTAAAAAGCCAAAAATTTAAAACTTCTAATAAACAATTTGGGTTGAAATCAGAGAGAATGTTTTTGTGATTATTTGCAAATGATAAATGAGGTATATGAATTTTGTGAGAACATTAATGAATACACACAAGTTAAATATACTCATTATATGACTCAGTCTGTGACTCCAGACAATTTTGCACCACAACATAAATTAAAATAATAATAATAAACTTGCCAAAGTTGTTACTTCCCAAAAAACATGTTAAAATAAAACACTGTGAAGTGGAGTTAGAATCAAGAAATTGCACACTATTACATTACCAGACACTTACCACTGTAGTTTATATACAATAAAATGTATGACATTGAATTATTATACACAAATGCTATTACAAATAAATAAGCTGTGAACTACAGAATTGACTCAGTCAGTAGTTTTAAGCACAATCAGCCAATAACTAAGCATATTGTTACAGCAACCACCCTAAACTTGCTGTGCACCACTTTGACACTGATTATCATTTACCAGTATACCAAATGAATTTGAGCCCAATATGCAGAAATTTTCCGAAGGTTCCTTGTAGCATGAGAGTCATGCGACCCCTACGTGTTAGTCATGTGACAGTCATGTGACAGGTCTTACCTTGGTAGGCGTTTTGGTGGCTACAAAGCTGGAATATTCACTCTCAATCCTGTCTTTCCTCTCCAGCTTCTTTATGTGTATCTTAGCGCCACCTATTGTGCTATAAAAAAAGTTAAAACATCAGTGAGAGTATGTTTTATTCTCTAATGATGGGTATTGGTGATACTAGTAGAAGCTGTTACATATTAAAGATAAGTCATCCTATTTCAGCTTAATTGAGGTTTATGCCAGGGAGAAAGCAAAAATGGGTCTTATATCAAAAAGCTTTATCAAATTGTTTTAGGCACGCTTTCTATTCTGTTCAGACTGCAATATATTTTGATGTTCAAGTAGCTCAATTCAATCTTATTTCAGAGGTGCTTTATGAAACATATCATAACTAATGTTATTCACATGGATGTTGACCTACTTGAGATTCCAGCATGTGTTAATGTTTTCCATTGCGTAGTTTGTGTCTATGTTCATTGCATCTAAGATCCAGTTTAGTGCACACAGTTGTCTGAATAGGGCCTCCCTGAATAGGAAAATAAATTATTAAATAAAATCCTTTCTCTTTATAATATCAGATCAATATCATTCATAATAGCACAACTCACAAATTATTAGCTTCTTTTATGCAGTCATAGAAAATTGTATCATTCAACATCTTCTTACTCTGTATGTGTGACATTGATTTTTCAATCAATTCTTACGAAATAGCAATTGTAACAATGGAACAAATAGTGTAAAACATCAACTAAATGCCAAGCTGAATCATAGTTGCATATATATGGTTGAAACAGGATAAAACAGGTGCTTTCTTAGCTTATTTTTTCTATATTATATTCCTTGGGGAGGAATTTTTATGAAGACTTACTTAGAGTGTGTGGTCAACGTTGTTGGACCGTCATTGAAGATGTTAGTGTGCGTGGCAGTGTAGGGTCTTGGAGGCAAAGTCTTGGACGACTTCTTACTGGCTGCAGACTTGGCACCTGTCCTGGCTGATCGCGGGCTAGGATGCCTGAGAATAACAATAACGAAATATAATAAATAGATATATCTACTTACAGGGTCTTAGTTTGGAACTTTCACATAAAAAGAGACCAGTTAAGACATATGTTTCTTTACTTGAATATAAAAGCTGGACATAACAACTTTTTACTTTTTCAAAATGTTCACTATAATGTAACAGTAAGACTTTACAAAATACCAAATTTATATAATATACATTTGATTTGAAGTGTGCAAATTGGCACATACATTACAGCAAACTCCTGTACAAATAATATGAAAAGCTGCCATGCTACAAGAACTAAAAAACAAAACAGTTATCAATTTGTCAATATAAACACAACAACTCCATACAATCTATCAGTTGACACTGTCACTTACCCAGCAAATGACACTCTACTCCTGGTGACAGGACTAGGAGCTGGAAGTGAGGGTTCTGGGCTGACATTGCCTTCACCTCCTTCTTGACTCATAAACCTGGCATAAAAGATTTAACAATTATTAATCAAGTATATCATAACCTCAAACTTACTGGTTAATCCAATGATTATCACAAGTGGCCCTCATATACCATAGGACCTCCATTAAAAATAAAAAACCTTAACAATACACTCTTCTGATCAAATAATCACTCAAAAGAGTTGTTTGTTCAAATGATTAACTCTGCATCAAGAAACATAAAAGCCTTGGATGTAGGTAGATTAAAATCTTGATTACTTTATTGCAGAGTTTCACTTTGAAATCTTCCTGACAGTAAAATATATTTAATCTATCTTTAGCTTAAAATCAAGTAATAATTCAAAAGCATCTGAGAAACAAATATCAAATAAAAAGCTTCTCTCCATGAGTCTCCGCTTACCCAGTAAGCTCCACATCTTCACCGAGTTCTTCATCTGTCTCTCCATCACTGGACGAGTCATCAGGGTTCCAGTTTAACAACCCAAACTGCCTCTGCTTGCGATTCTCCATCTCCTCCTCTTGAAGCTAAAATATTTGTACAATATCTCTGATAGTTAAATATGTTCTCTGTTGTCTAATGTATACAGCAGTGATGATGAAAAAGTAATATCATAATACTTCTGAAGTGATAAAATGGTTCTTTAGAACAATTTATTTTGAAATCATATTAACTTCTTTAGAAACAAATTATTTTTCTATCAACATCATTGACATAATTAAAATTATTGACCACTGTCAGGCTCGTAGTCAGGGGGCATTCGGGGTAAAAGTTGATGTAGGTACTAACACAAACGTTTCACTGTAAAAGATCCACTTTTTTGAAAAAAAAAACTCCACTTTTGAAATTGCTGGCTTTGGGCCTGGCAGTTCATGAAATACTTCAAATACAAGAAGAGTTTTTAAAAAATACATTGTCAACAATGTGTATACATGTCAAGTATTGCAAAATGGCCTTTGGTTCCTTAACAATTATTTGACAGACCAAACCTGAAATCTCTTAGCAATTTTAGCCCAAAGTTGAAATAAAATAAACTTCTGAACTTTAGATAATTCAATTTTAATTTTAAAATCTGACTTAAAAAACATTTTAACAAACCTTCATCTCCTGCTCATATCTCAGCTTTTCAAACAATCCATGCCCCAGCTTCACATTCCTGATCAGATTTCTAGAACAAAGAACAAAGTATTTACTAAATAATTCATAGTAAACATATCAATACTGTCTAACTTAGTCTACTTATTGGAAATTGGACTGCTTATGGACAATATTTTCTCATTGGAGACATTATTGCAACATTGAATTAAATGTCTGGCATAACATCTAATTATGTAAAATGCACTCCTTTTAGTTTCATAGAACATTTTCTCAAATATGTTTTCCTTTAGATTATAGCATTATATAATTGTCTTCAGAGCTGCCAAGAGAGGAATATTCAGAAACCTACTATGGACCTCTGAGTAAAAAAAAAAAAAAATTCAAGTCTGACGTTGCCTGACTCTTCATTGCTTAACTACCAGCAGATAAAAAAAATGATGGTACAAAATCATGAACTTAAAACCTAAACAACAATAATCAATACATTTCAAATATTCACACAAAATTTTCTGTATCTGAAAAAGCCAAGTGTCATTCCAACCAGAAAAAAATAACTGGATATATATATATATAAAACATTTTAGTTTGACTTATTAAGGTAAAATTAGTGCGACATATTTTTTTTCTTTTTCTACAGCCGCTTTATAAGAATGAAATATTTATTTTGCAAAAGAAGTGCTAGATTCAGCCCAGACACCTTTGTGGTTATATCAATAAAATCTTCTTTGACGTATGTTCTATTTTTCTTAGCAATTCGTTCATTTAACTACATCATATTAAAATTACATGATAAGTACTCTCAAGTCGCCTACTGTATAACCTCCATTAAAAAAAAAAAAAAAAAAACTAAATGTTTGTTTTCACAAAAGCTTTGGCACATTTAATAGGTTATCAAAATATGCTCTTACATATTGGATTGTAAACATTAAATGCACCATATATTGTTTGAAATGAACTTTGAAAAAATTGCCTTGAAGCCCTTTGAGTTGTATGACGTCCATTAAAGAAAAACCCTAAAAATCCACTCTTTTGTTCAAATATTCACTCAAAAGAGATGTTTGCTCAAATGATTACCTCTGCATCACTAAATATTAAAGACATCGATCTAGACTAAACAGTCATGGTAAAAAGCAACTATGCTTTAAGGACTTACTTAAATTCTAAAAACAAATATTGTGAATTGTGCATTACCCAGTCCTTGCTAATGGGAGGCAAATATTTGCTTTTGGAAATGAAATATCAGGTTGTGGTTCTAGCAGTGCTGGTGTGCAGGCTTGTTTCACAGCCTTTTGTATTTACCAAAAGAATCAGATATAAGCACAGTAATTGTCAATGTGGACTGTTTTCTTTTTTTTTAAGTCTATCTCTTTGTTCTACATCCTCATTTTCTTTCTCCCTCTCTCTCTCTCTCTCTGAGATTTTCTCTCTCTCTCTCTCTCTCTCTCTCTCTCTCTCTCTCTCTCTGAGATTTTCACTCTCTTTCTCTTTCTCTCTCTGAGATTCTCTCTCTCTCTGAGATTTTCTCTCTCTCTTCCTCTTCCTCTCTCTGAAATTCTCTCTCTCTCTCTCTCTCTCTCTCTCTCGTTCCCTTACCTGCCGTGAGCCACTTCCTTGTGCAGATTATTTAAATCTTTTCTCGTTCTTCTTAACACAAACTTTGCTGGAGTCTGAAAATGAAGGGAAAAATAAATTTAAAAGTCAGAAAAAGTCACCAAAATGTAAAGAAAGATGCCAGTAGTAGGTTAAAAGAATGAGATCTATATTGATTAACTTCTATACAAGGAAAACAATGTTCTTTTCTCTAAAGCTTGTAGCAGGTTTTGGTAGAAATTATTGTAATCTTTGTATTACTTAATATTCACAATAAAAATTCATACAGTGCTGAATAAAAGTGCACATTAAACCCATATGAAGTAGTCTAAGAAGTAGGAGAAGGGGGGGGGGGGGGGTCGGTATGTCACCGTCAGTTCAAAGTCAGTCAGAACGGCAGTTATAAAGACGTCTTTATTTTGATGTGCCTCGATGCAGAAGAATTCACCCAAGCAGCAACAGTGTAACTTTTCACTTCAGAATTCACAAAAGATCCAGTCGGTACAAACAATTAACAATTCCTTTCAACATCTCAGCAGTGCAATAACCTCGTATTGAGAGTACAAACTAGACACTTATATCACGATTCTCTGCTGTTGGGGGGGTAAACAAATAATATAAATCAATAAAGAATGGAAAATGAAATATCAAGTTTACCGGCCTCTTGTGTACTATATACTAGTAGATGTTTTTGCCTATATCCCATGGACTTCATATGACAAATCTGGATAATTCTCCTTGTTGTGACCATCTGCTTTTTAATTCTTTTTAATTAAAAAAAATCTATACTTTTTATTGCACTAACTGGAGGAACCAAATTATGCACTTTGAATAACAATAGCATTACTTAACCATGCCAATGATGCTTCACCTGGAAAAACGCAATTACCAACCCTGACAGAACTGGCCTAATTTTTAATTTAATATTCAGATATTTAGCAAGCAAATTTTATGGAGTTGCTTTCAACCAGTCATGAGATGTCACCACCTTTCTTGTATGATATACCCATTTCAGTCTGAAAAGAGTGTATTGTTAAAATATGCCATAATGCCCATAAAATTACTCTTTTTTTTTCTTAAAACTAAATTACAACTTTGTTATTAGATTTGTTATGCTGTAAGTGACAGTCTCTGTTATTGCTACATTCAAGGGAAAATGGAATTCGGTAGTTTACTGTGGCTATGAATCTAATTATGAATGCCAGAAGATCTGGTACAGTGATAATATTCTTTTCAAATCACATTCATTAGACTGGTCTATAATTTATTATCCATCCAGACAGATCAGTAAATATTTGCAAAATGTGAAAATTAATTAACGAAAGTTACTGATATGTGCTTTCCACTGAATCTGAAACCCATTATACCCAATAAAATCTGTATCCAATGTTAAACTCAGTGTTAGAAATTAAGGCCGACAACTTTCAAGACGGGCTGATAAGTTTTCCCACCCGTCAGACATTCAATTCAGCTCTTTTCAAGATGGCTGGACTTTCGGTCCAGCAACTAATTTTCCTAAGAGGCAAACACTGGTTAAACGTATTGTTTTTCTTTCTTTTTTTTTCATTTTTCATTAATAGAACTCACCATAGGTCTGAGGGACTGGGTTTGCTGGCCCTCCTCCTCACTATCTTCCTCCTCCTCGCTGGACGAGTCCTCATCATCACTCTGAAAAGACGGAAACCCAAACATTTAACAGTTATTATTTATCAATACTACCAGACATCTTGGGTCTTTTTTATAAAATAAAACAAAACTTCAGTCAGCAAATTGGTCTGTACTTTTAGATTAAAAAGGGTCACATTTAGCTCTAGATAAATACTAGTACGTACATACATATAGTCCACTCATTAGTAAATTACTGGTTAAGACTTAGAATTTATTAGCCTAAAGGAAAAGGCCCTTTTATTTGTAAAACAGGACTTCTCTAGATTTACCTCAGATCAATTAATTTTTTTTTTTTTTTTTTTTTTTTGCTATATTAAGGTCTTTAAATCCTTGTGCACCTCCAATCTTCTATCAATCATTGACCATAATGCCTAAGATTTGGTTGCAGACTCAAAATTTGACTTTGCAATTGCAACACAGGCAATCAGTTCATTTTTAACTTTAGAAATAGCATCTAGCAGATTTCATCTTGGGCAAATCCATTAATCATTCTCAGACTGTTACTTTCACTGGTTTGCAATTTAAATTGGCCAATTCCAGCACTGTCTAATCTCCTCCCTGAACACCATGTCCATTTTTACATATATATGTATATTATGTAACTTATACGCTTGATCCCTTATTCACAGACCAATTATCCATTCAAACCAATACAAGATGTTTATCGCAACCATCAGCTATAAAGCTCAGGACTGTACGCAGCTGTATTGATTTCAATCTCAGGTACGTACTGCTAATAACGGTCACTTTCACTGAGAGGATACCGCATTGATTATTGCACCGTCACGCAACGCGGTGCGCAAAATGCAGCTAATAAACACAGTTGGGAGCTAGAGTCAAGGAGAAAATGACGGCTATTCAGGCTTCTGCATCACGCACAGGGAAATCTCTCAAAAGCTTTTAGTCTTGTGTAAAAATATCACTACCTCAGTTGCTATTGACTGTACATATTAGCATGTCATATTTTTAAGCCTATTTTCTTTCCTGAGATTTACCTCATCTTACAGAAAAATTATTATCTGAGAAATGGAGAAAAAATCAAAATGACAGACAAACAACTGTGTTAATATGAAATCTAAAATTGGGATGCGAGACAAGGAATATTTGGTCTACATTAGATTCATACATGTATCAAAGGTAAACTGTCTGCATTTAATTTTCAAACGTCATATTTATTAACATAGATCTATATTCCTGCAAAACTAATCATCTCTTCCACTTCAGACTTTAAAAGTGATATGTAACCCCTCAAATAAAAATTACATTAAGCACCTGATGTTGATATTTCCTACTGAAATGTACAGGGAGACATGCCAGTCAAAACTTACAGGATCAAAACAATTGTGTAGAAATAAATAATTCAATTTCAACTGGAATAAAACATCAAATCCAAGTGCAAGGACAGACAGAGCAATGGTTAACTGGCAGGAGAAAATTGCTTTGTTTTTCAAACCATTCTTCACTGAAAATTCAACTTGTCGTGAAAATCCCCGATTAAAATGCCTGTTTTTAACATCAAATTTTCCTCCAGACAAGGGTTTTCCCATGGAACCACGCAGCAGTCATTTGGACGGCCATCAGCATCACTAGATGGCCCATATTTTCAAAGACATCCTGATGGCTTATAGATTTTTTTGGAAATATGACAGCTTTTAGGCATATACTGTACTTGGACTCCCTGAAAATTAATAGGTAGTTACAGGTGGTAATTTTTGGCAGCCTGTATCCCCAAACTATAAAAACCCCAGCTCCCGAATATAACGTACCTCATTCCACTGGCCTAGAGCTGTCAGTATGAGCCTCTTGTTGGACAGATAAATCTCTCCGCCAATGTTCTGATACGGTTTATAGTTCACAGAGCGAAAGCCCTGTTGTGTGAGTTGGCGTATACGCCTGTTGTAATTTTCCTCGCGTACATTTTGACGTGTGGGGAAGGTGGGATTGTAGACCTCGGCGCTCCGAGCTTGGATTTTTATTCCTTTCTGACTGAGGATAGGGGGAGCTTCTCGGCGGATATACGTCCGGGGGTCGTCCCTTCCTTTAGGCATATTGCTGAAGAGAATTTATTTTGTTTACTGAAATAGAAAATAAAATAACCTTCAGAACTACTTAGTATATAGAGAGACATTCATTAACTGGCAGATCTGAGATGTGTGTGTGGACCCACTAGTATATATATCAGTTTTATATTGCTGCATCCAGTTCATTACAGGATATATATATATATATTCACATGTATATAGACTTTGACATCCCATTTTTGTGCTCTTCTTAATAAATAATTAGTCTAGAGTCTGCGTGGTACAAGAAAAGTAACTAGTATAGCACCTGTACATATAAAGTATTCGTGCATGTAGTTACATTGCACCTCAGTCTTTCTATGATGATACTGAGATACGTGCATAATAATATAAAACTTACCCCAGTAATTAAGAATAATCATGTTTGTGCCTCAGATCCTTTACTAATACAGTTGTGGATATATATTAACCCGTCCGTCAAACTTTACATTTAGGAGTGCCGAAATGGGCTGACTATTTTCTAACATTTATATCTAAAGACGTTATTACATGAGACAGGGGTTCGATTACTACTATTACTAGTTCCTATGTAAAATATCAGTAACGTGTTACAAGAAAGAGAGAGAGAGAGAGAGAGAGAGAGAGAGAGAGAGATTGTTATAAACTTATCTTGCCGTTAAACACTTACCCTTGTCATTTTTGGGTCCATATAATCCATAGGTAAGTAAAATCACAAGACGCAACTTCTACTCTACTGATATCAATGTAAGCTTACGCGAGCTGCCATTGCTTTATAGGCTCTTTCAATCAACTAACATCACCCCAACCAATTAAATTGACATTTAAAAATCATTCATCTGTTTTTTTACTCCAATAAAATGTAATTTAATGCCACAGATACACTTAAAATTGCCTTCAGTACACATCGGACATTGCAAAAATGTGATGTTTGCCGAAGGTAAAGTCAACAATAAAAATATTAAACGTGCAGAGGGGGCAACCGGTTTACTGTAACAGCGCGTAAATAAACCATGACGTCGCATAGCTACCAGGTGACCCCAGTGCAAAACACTTGATTGTGTCAGCACAGAGTGCGCGTTGTTTCGGGGGAGGGGGTGTCTGTTGTACAAGTTTTACTGATTTGCTGAGCAAAATGAAATTTAGTAAATTGCTTAAATTTAGAGTAGACATTTTGAAGAAGATATTCAGAGACATTTAAATTACGAAGTATATTTCTTACAGCTGGTAGGGCCTACAGTAGCTAGGCCTACTATTTTTAAAGCCCCGCGACAGCTCTTGCGACTTTATTGAAGCACGCTGCTCCGGCTGCTGTTTTATATATTTATTACAAATAATTTGTATTTTGCACACTTCCTCTATTTTTTTCAGTTCTTCAGGTTAAAATCGCTTGTTTAATGTGCTATCTTAATTCAAACAATACGCGTTCTTTTTACTTTTTTATTTTGAAAAGTCAGGATCATTTGCCACATACATTTTAAGCCAGAGGCCATATCTTACATGTAAGATTATATCTCCTTAATGAAAAAATGTGAACTGGCTGATATCTCTCAAGCGATCTCTAATTTTGCTTTTGAAATGAGAAATTGTATACCTTCTCTCTGCACGTCTACATATGTACATGTATCTGCACTGCCTCTTAATTTATATTTTCAGATACTGACACCAGGCAGTGAAGTACATGTATGTCTGGGAGAGGTATGTGGATCACAGAATGTGGTAGAGAAGACAACACATTCAACGTTCCAACCGCCACCAATGCAGAGAAGATACGACTGAAAGCAGTTTTAGAAAAGTGCGGCGAACTTCCCAGAAAAAAAATGCATTTGTACAAAAAGAATAAGATACAACGAAATGAGATAACATGAAAAACAAGTGAAATAAAAGGTCCGACACCAATAGCGTCACAAATGGGCTTTATACCGGTAGTGATCACGATGAAAAAATAATAATAGCCTAAAATGAAAGCCGTGTACAATGTAGTTAAAATAAAACTTTTAGTAATGTATTTCGTTCCATTTCAGAAACAGCTTACCTGTTGCACGTTATCGTCGGTTCACGCCTTAGAGGCATAGCGATTATAATACTTCTTTTTAAAGAAACTATTTTATTTGCCCTTAAATTTCAGGTTTTAATTAGTAAAAATGCACTTTGAATTTAAAGCTCATCACAATGCTTTTTATTAACACCATTTATATGTCAATGTGCAGGTAAATAAAAGTTAAGCAGTTTTATAATTACGATAATTGGAAAGGTTTTCTTTTCTTTCCGCCCCCCCCCCCTCTTTTTTTAGTATTTTCAGCATTGCGTATCTTTCTTCACACATTTAGTCTATTTAGTGCCATTGATATTATCTAGAATAGTTTATATTCAGTCGTCCATCTTTTTTATTTTCATTTTATTTTTATGCTAAGGACTACTTGTTTTTTTTTTTTTTTTTTTTTTTTTTCTCTCTCTCTTGGGATTCACGTGAGGGTAATAACACCGATTGATCAATCAATTAATAAGTGGTCGGAAGCAATATTGTGCATTTCTGATCTCTTATTCAGATAAAGAGCAAAAAATAAGTTTGTAAATACTCTATTGCATTATTTGAAGGTTGTCTGGTCTATGACGTTAAAGAACACAATGGGAAGAATTTAGTATTAGAAAGCCCCAAAGAAATGGGAATTCAGATGTGTTAAAGCGCTTTCCATTCAAGCAATTGCGACGACGTGAATTTTGATTAAAAAAAACATATTTGGCAGATAATTAATCCGACAATATTCTTTTTCTTCTGCTGAACGCGGTATACAGGCGGTATAACGTGCTCCTATAGCGGGGAAGCTACTGAATTAAAATCAAGTTTGCTCGCTTTTATTGAGCAGAATACCTGGAACGTTCCATTTTCAGATGATTTCAGATCTATAGGTATTTGACGGGTATTCTCGATTGTGTTTTGAACGTTTGGTTTTTTAAGTCGGATGATGATCCTTAAGGACAACAGCGTGTACAGCAAGACGCTAGCCTCTCCCGGAAGGAAAATGGCGCTCAAGAACTTCATGTACACGATGTCGAGGATTCTCTCTCACGGGGTTTTGTTTTACATATATAGATCGACGTGTCAAGAAATTAAGATTTACAGTTTCTAACTAGTCATTTGTATCTAAAGCCATTCAGACGTTTTTTAGTCTTAAATCACAGACATACTATCAAAAAGGACTATTCCTTTTTCAATGGAGCAAAGTTTGTTCCTAGCTTTATTTGTGCACATGTGCTTATTAATTTAAAAAAGGCAGATATCGTTGATCTAATGATTGTCTTCATCACAATACGCAATGTAAAATTGAAAATAAAGTACATGAAATGAGCACCCCCTCCTGAATACCGCCTCTGAGTGCATATTATGAATATTATATGTGCGCTTGAGTGTAACGCATTAGAACATACATGTAATATTCATTTAACGGTAGTCATGACACGAAAGAGCGTTTCTGGCAGTAATAAGACGAGCAGCTCCAAAATATGAAAAGTCAAAATATCTGAGATATCCTGCAGCTACATGTACATGAAGGACTGGCATTGGACCACAGTTTGGCTAAGCTCGCGATCGACAAGCCTGCAGCTTGAGGACCCAAGACAACGGAACGGGTGCGATATTATCGGCGACAGTTGTCTTTAATATATGTGCCTTAATTTAGAAATGATTTCACAACCGGCTTATCTAAGTAGGCCTACAGGGTCGATTGCGTTCAATTTTTTAAACCTGTCTCTCAATATAATATTACATAGTGATAAATAGAAGATGGCATCATTATTAAATGAAATATACTCTGTATTTTTACATTAGCTTGTAGCTACTGCTCAATAAAAAAGCTTATTTAAAAAGCAGTATGAATCATGCGACAAAGTATGGTGTGAGTGTAAACAAAAAAATCCCCTTCTCTATTTTTGCACTACTGACGTCACTGCTTTGTCAACATTAAAGACACATAGCTCTAGCAAATCGAAAAAGAGCTTTTCGAAAATGGTGGGTATTCATCCCTAAAAATTCAATCTGACAAGAGTATTCCATGTGCATCCAAGCCCATAAGTGTGGCAGAGTTTAAGGCAATCGTTCGGAAGGAACCAGAATAACAAAAAGCGTCATATTAGAGAAATATGTGGAGTCGGCCATTTACAGAACCATCCTCTGCAGGTGCCAGGCGGGAGTACAGGTACTTTGTAGGTTTTGAAGAAGCTGAACAGGACGCATTTCTTTTCCTGGCAGCACCACTCGACGGATATGACCTGGAAAGAAGGCAGGGCGAAATCCGAAGTTTTCGTGAGTTGTATCCCGGGGCTTCCCAGTGCAGTGGAAACATAGGCCAAGAAGTAATGGTGTACAATAAAAACGAGCTTCTTGGTCAAGTCACCTCATTCATTAAAGTACACCGTAAAAAGAGACGTATAGTCATCTTGTTTGTAGGTCATGGGCGACCAGACGGGAAGATCACTCTGGCGGGAGAAAACTGTCCCCTGCAGGAGTACGTTGTCAGCGTGGGCACTGTGGCTTACAGCCTTTACCCAGCCGTGCCTATCGATCTGATCAACGCCCAGTGTTACGCCCATTTGGTGTCCACAGCTCGAGGCCTGCCTGTTAATATTGTACATCTAAGAAACAGAGATCATCCCAAAATTCCTTCTTGGCAGTATTTTGAGGGAGATTTCAGCTCCCACATGCCAAAACGGAGCATACCATTAGAGCTACAAAGTTTTGCAAAGGCTGCTAAAGATAAACAAGTAAGTTAGAGAACGATTAATGTAGTTCATTAGTATTTCAGTAAACCAGATTGGGGTCATCCCGATACTCCCCCGCACCGTTACTCCCCCGCACCG